AACTAAGCCCGTGCGCCACAACTACTGAGCCTGAGCTCTAGAGCCCGCGAGCCACAACTACTGAGCCTGTGAACCACAACTACTGAAGCCCGTGCGCCTAGAGCCCATGCTCCTCAACAAGAGAAGCCACCGCAGTGAGAAGCCCGCACACTGCAATGAAGAGTAGCCCCCGCTCGTTGCCAACTAGAGAGAGCCCGCATGCAGCAATGAAGACCCAATGCAGCCTAAAATAAATAAATAAATTTATACTAAAAAAAAAAAACTAAAAGAATTTCTGCAGCAATTTTCTTTGGATGAGAAAGCCATCAGTTTCTTTCCTTATTATGCATCTCAAATGACAGTTTCTAGCCATATTGTTTAGCACACGAGTGTTAAAACCCCTTATGAAAGAATCCTGAAGTTGATATTCAAGCTCTCAGGTTCATGATTCAGCAGCTTCTTTAACTCCTTTACGGTGGGGCAGATAGAGTAAAAGAGAAGGTGTCTTATGAAACGAAGTAGCTGTTCCCTTTTTCACGCTACGCTTAAGGTTCCTTTGAAGCATTTGAAAAGTTCTACCTGATTTTTAGCTCTGCTATGGCTTACAATGCTATTAACAGTACTTTAGGGAAAGTTTTGCTTCCTAATTTCAGAACCGTATCTGCTTTAGTCTCTGACACCAAAAGTAACAGGCTGCACTTACAGTTTCCCAATCAAATTGCATAGTTGAGGCAAATTCATTTGTGCTTTGTAGCAGGACTCACAGTAGGTGTTCATACCTAAACCCTTTGCTTTGTCAACGCAAAATCATGGTCAAGCTCACCCTTGTTCAGAGCGCACGCTAATGATAGGCACCGCCATCACACTTCCCATGATTCTGTTAGTCGTGCACCCAGCCTTATACCATATTGGAGCATTAGCGTCAAAATTAACTCAGAAATGGTAACAAATCTATCTAAACTCCTTCTTCCTGGAGAGAAGGGGGGAAAGGCTCAGTCTTGTTGAGGTATCCAGCCCTCAATCAACAGTGGCTGTGTATACTGAGTTTTGTTGGTTTGAGGATTGTGTCTTTAGAGGTTAAAAAAAGAAAGAAAGAAAAGAAGGCACGGGTGTTTCTCGAGTCACCATATTCAACTCAACCAACAAAAGTCTTCCATTTTCAAGCTTCAGAAGGGAGGCTACATGGCAGCAGGGCTTTCTTCCAGCCCCTGGTCTGGGGAGGAACTTATTGCTTCTAGGAAGGGCCCCGGATAGGTCTGTGCTGTGTACTGGATCCCTTTTTGCAGACCAGTCTCTTCGTGGAATTCTCCCTGGGTGCTGAAAGCTGGGCAGGATCTAGTCCGGACAGACTTATCGGCACTGTCGGTGTGGCCCACCGTCTCACTCACGGTGCTCAGTGGGAATTCCCTCCACCTCTGCCTCTGTAGCTCTTCCTCCTTGTATTTGATGGAGTACCAGGCCAAAAAAATAAAAATGAAGCCAACAAGTTTGAGGCCAGCTGCCAAACCAAAATAGACAAAACGAAATGATGTGACATTGTACTCCCAGCAAGAGCCCTGCACGCCACACTCCTGTTGCCACAGCATGCAGGTGGTGTCAATAACTGCTCCAAAGTAAATTGGAGTAGGAATGTATGCTAGAGTTGGCGGAGAAAAAGAAAAAGGAAAATAGTTAGCACATCTTATAAGAGGAAACAGATCTGTAAATTAACAGGATGCTTGTTCGCTCTAAAAACCAGTTGAAGGGAGTGGTTTTCTCGTGTTACTTGATTTTTTGTAAATATGTACTACATCTTGTCATAATATTCTTATCATAGAAATGCTCACTAAATTGTAAATACTTTAAATATTCTAGTTTGCAACTCAGTCAGAATGTGTTTTGGTTTTTAGGCATTTTATTTTAAAATTTATTATTATTTATTATAGTTGACATATTATGATATAAAATGTCTAAAAAGCATGAACACATCTTTAGACATAAAAATTTCTATTGATAAAAATGCAATGAGGGATGGGAGCTCCCTGGCGTTCCAGTGGTTAGGACTCGGTGCTTTCACTGCCGTAGCCCCAGGGTTCAATCCCTGGTGTGGGACCTAAGATCCCACAGCCTCTCTGCCCAGCCGAGAAAAAAAAGAAATGCAATTAGGGAATCCTTTTCAACTTAAAAAATCCGATTTTGTTATGTAGTACACAACTGGCCATATTAGAACCCTTTATGATCCACAAACATTCAGTACACTTAGATCTTGTGGGTTGGGTTCTAGCCTTGGATGCAGGAAGAGTATCAGGCAAGCACTGTGCCCTGTAAGTCGGAAACCACATCAAATGGCTCCTGGAGTATGGAAATAAATAAGGCATAATATTCATCTTTACAGCTTATGCAGCACCTGTGAGGAGTAGCAGCTTCATTGTTTGGGCTACGATGTAGACATTTCTTTACTCCCATAAGGAAAAATGTCTACCCAAGTAGACCTCCTTCATTACATGCTACTCCCTTTGCTGAAATGTGTCCCCATTCCCAACTTGTTCACCTTGCAAATATCTACTCCCCCTTTAAATTCCTGACTCATTCAGATGCTACCATACTACCATTGCATTTTGTGTACACCTCCACTTTGTCCACTATCACCCAGTATTTAAACTATTTGTAAGTCTGTCACCCATAGGCTCCTCGATGGCGGGGACCATGCCTTTTATTCTTCGCATCCCAAGGACCTATCAGGACAGCCCATGGATCCTCAATAAGAGTTTATAAAAGGAAGTGATGAATGGAAGGAAAGGAAGAAGAAAAGAGAGAAGGGAGGAAGGGATGGAGGAGGGGAAGAAGGGAGAGAGGACGTGGGCTAATAGCCCAGGAGGCTGCGAGTGGTGCATTTTTATCTTTTGGCTGCACCACACGGCATGTGGGATCTTAATTCCCTGACCAGGAATCGAACCCGTCCCCTCTGCATTGGCAGCACGGAGTCTTAACCACTGGACTGCCAGGGAAGTCCCCCAAGTGATACCTTTTTAAATACACCGTATTCATTTAAAAGGAGATATGGTCACTACCACTGAAATGTAACATTATTGGGCTGGGCAAAATAGATGAAGTGGATTAAGAGGTACAAAACTTAAATCATAAATAAGTCACAGGGACGTACTACACAGCATAAGGACTACGGTCAATAATATTGTAATAATGTTGTATGGGGATAGATGGTTACTGGACTTATCATCGTGATCATGTCGTAATGTTTGCAAATGTCAAATTGTTATGTAGTACACTGGAAACTAACATAATATTGCACATCAACTATGTTTCACTTTTCAAAAATTTAACATCATTGAAATACCTGAAACTCTCTTTTTGCTTTGGCACTTGGGGAAATGGAAAGTGGCTGGTTGGCCTAACTATACTTTTTCATAATCAGTGGAACTTAAGGTAAGGTTGAATTAAATAATAAATGCCTGATATGTTTGTTCTCCCTCCACTAATTCCTTACGCTGTGGTGTGCATCTCTTGACTTATTCCACATCCATATGAAATCACCCAAGCCCCTGGCATCAGAGACAGGCCAAGCAAAAAGGAGGAACTACTTTTTTCTTTTCTTATTCAACTACCCCTTTGCTAAACAAATTTCCTTCTTTGAAAATAACTTTTTTGTTTTCAATGAGAAGTATAAGGCAAACTTCTTAGCTAAATCAAAGAATGTCAGTCGTTCCTTGAACCAGCGTTCTTTGGAAAACGGTGCTTTCATGTTACCAAAAAATTAAGCCGTCCAGGGAGTTCTCTGGCGGTCCAGTGGTTAGGACTTGGTGCTTTCACTGCCATGGTGGGGGTTCAATCCCTGGTCGGGGAACTAAGATACCAGAAGCCGTGTGGCACGGCGCCCCCTCCGCAAAATAAGTAAAATTAAAATCTGATATTTAAAAAAAAAATAAGTCACCTAATTCAAAGCAACCAGAAGCCTTTGATGACCGCTGACAAGTCCTCACTCTAAGTCTGGGCCATCGAGCACAACATGAGACAAAATGAGAATTTCAGAGAGCATTCATGTTGTCAAGGGCCAGATGATTTTTAAGGGTTTAAAATGTTTCATCCTTCAAGATTGAAATAAGCAGCTTGAATCAAAGAAGTAATTTTTTGTGCTGTGGACAATGATACTGATTACTGGGGAAAATAACAGCTGAAGAAGATGACAGACTGCCACTTAAGACAGAAAAAATATGCCTGACGATGAGGAAGTCATATAAAAATACATTGAAATCCATCAAGGGAATGGGCCACTTCACACGCTGTTTCCCAGTCACTGTCCCAAGACATCACAAGTGATGCAGTGTTTGTAAAAATCAGAAGGCTATTCTTCATGTCCAAATAAACTCTGGGACTTACCCCATTGACATAGCGCTAACGAGCTTCTTTTGTTAATAAGCAAAACCTAGTCCTTATATATCAGTTTGGAAAACTTCCTTTTTTTTTTTTTTGTAGAATTTTTAATCTCTTTTCCTCAGGAAACTTGATTGGTATACTCTTTACCCAGCCCAATAAAATGACTGGAAAGAAGTAAGGAATTGAAGTTTTCACACACACAAAAAAATGAGCACCAATTCCCATCACTTTCATGTTACAAAGGCACAAAAGGGACCAAAAAAACAGGATCATAAGCCCATAACAATTTCTTGGTTCAAGATTTCTTACTCTACAAAACTCTGGGGAATTTAGCCCAAGTTTACGGTTCACAGTGAAAGAGAAATGGATCTAAAGTCAGTTTTGTTTTCTTTCATCAGTGACAGAATTGGTCAGCTTTTAGTCCAAGTCAGGAAATGAGGAAGTTGTGCCTCGCCACTAACCTGTGAAATCCTAGCTACTATGAATGGTAACAAATGACTTGCCATTTTTAAAGGACAGTGGAAATTTGCCATCTACAAAGAGGAACAGAGAGGCACTTGGAAATACAGGAACGTACCAAGTGTTCGCAATAAAACAAACTGCATTCCCAGGGCAAAAGGTCTCTCTTCATCTTCTACGGACCTACGAAGAAGGTAAAGAAAGAAATGTTTTAGAATAATGGTCTGAGGAAAATGAATGTCAAATCAAGCTTGCTTAGCGGCAGAGCCAGGGACCAAACATGCTGGGCCAAAATACTGAATTTGCTAGAATTTACTAAAAATAGCAGAACAAGACCGATTATGGCTACATCACCGAGTAACGGTCTCCCCAGTGAGACTGCAGAGAAACTCCGATTAACTCTATTTTTTGTGTAAATAACGGTGGAAGGACAAAGGTTCAGAGCTGAAGGTATAGAAGGTGAAGGTACAGAAGTGGCTCTAACTGAGTTTGCGGAAGGTACAGAAGTGGCTCTGAGTTTGCAAAATCAATTCTGTTAAAAAAAATTATATATATATATATAGCATTTTATCCTAACTATTGCATTCTTTTTCTCTGTTTGCCTGCACTTCCCAGAATGGTAGGTGTGTACACTGAACATGACTCCTGTAATTTCTCAAGTATAGAGAAAACAGGTTTTTTTAAAAAATGGTCCCAAAATGGGTAGGAAACAAGTCAAAAGTTAGAAAAAGAATGAACCCTCCCCAGTCACCTCACATTCTCTTCTTTTCCTAAAACTTATGCTCCAAGTAATTCCCACATGGCAGGAAGATTGGAGTCTATTGATTTTGTAATTAGTAAAGATTAAAGGGCTCCTTTTCTCAAGTTTTGGGTTAGAGGCCAACTGGTGACCTGCCATGTTTGAACATTATAAAATGGGCAGCCCTTATCTGGGTTATTTAACATCTCTTGTAGAATTAAAGTTCAAAGTGTTACATTATTAATGATTCACATTTTTTCATGACGAAGTACTTTATCCTTTCTATCCCATACACATAGGGTTCTCAGCATATAATGTAAAATTCCCAAGGACCAGCATGTCTGTCCTCTTTTCCGCTAATTTCTTTATTTTCTCACAGCAATTTCCCCAGTGTGGAACACAGTTTTGTTACTCCGTAAGTATCTGCTGATGGAGGAATTGACTGAGTCAACCATTGGGACCAATGGGACTTTCGTGTGCTGTTATCTATCAAGGAATGCATCGGCTGAACATCGTCTAACTCAGCATCCCACAGAAGGGAAGTCAGAACATGCAGAAAAAGCATGGGAGCAGCCCAACTGCCCTGCTAAGAATGACGTCTCAGCAGATGCATCCCACCAGGTGCCCAGCATTGTGGGGTACTGAGGAACCAGGGAGGACATAAAAGGGAGAATAGAGACTGACACCCCTCACTCCCTCATCACCCTGCATCCCAGCCCCCCTAAGGCTGCCGTGGGCGTGCTTTTGTTTCTTCACCACGCTGCCCCCTTCCTTCCTTGGTCCACTGCAGTCTTTACTGCGAATACCAAAACTCTGATCCGAATGTGCTGGTGTCAGCATTTTAAATAGGGCTTCCATTCAGGTAACTTTCACATTCTCTCTTAGAAGCCAAACAACACGAACAGGACATGTAACACAGCAAAGAAAGCACAGCATGAACAACTTAATAAATACGTTTCCAGGTCTGCCCTTTCCTTGATTCGATGTCAAAATTTTATGACAGTGAAATTCATTAAAGCAGCATTTGGAACTGCAAGACCAGCAGCAATGGCACGGATCCTGGAGTATTAAACATCTACAAGGTTGGAGATAATATTCTTTGCTATGTGCACAATTTAGCAACTTCCCCAAATGACTTGCCGCCTCCTCTAGGGCCAGGTTTCTTGTAGCTACAACGGTCACGGCTTTCAGTTCCTGAACTTGAACCTTTTAGGGTAGAGACTTCAGGGACCAAAGGCACCCAAAATAAGTTTCCCTGACCTATAGGGAGAGAACGCATCTGAATAAAGAAAGTTCGGAAGTATGAAATGTTACCATCTTCCTTTCCTTTCCTGACATGGGAAAACGCCCTTCTCTTAAGTTCACCAGGGAAATGTCTGAGCACTTTCCTGCACAATCTCACGTTGCTTTCCTCTCTGTGTTACCACATCAGCCCCCAGTCTGGACCAGGAATCCTGGCAACTCTGAGTGTATAACCCACCCTAGACGTTGAATGCTGTCCTCACCTGAGAGTTACTATGATGGCTGATGGCTGGGCACATGCTGTGATGAAGGTCACTATGAACAGAAAAACTAAGAACGGGATGAGGGTGTTACAGCTCCGTTTACACTTCCCCGACACAGCATAGCCGTTCTCATTGAGATACGTTTTGACAATAACCACGCGGACCTGGCTGCGCTGCCCCACTGTGGGAGGCGTGATCACTTGGCGGCTTTGGACACAGGTGCACTCTGTGTAATTCCGTATCTAAGCGATAACAAAGATCAGTTGGACGCTAAGCGAAATTCAGCATAGGAATAGTCAGACAAAGTTAAAATGCTCTAAAATCACTCTAGTATTTAAAAAGATGCAGAATATTTCATTGAAAGTATCTTCTGGGAGTTCCCTGGTGGCCTCGTGGTTAGGATTCCAGGCTTTCACTGCCATGGCCCGGGTTCAATCCCTGGTTGGGGAGCTGAGATCCCACAAGCCTCACAGAGTGGCCAAAAAGAAAAAGAAAGAAAAGGAAATATCTTCCTCGTTTTAACAGTCAGGATCCAAAGAGTGCATCTAACAACATCAAAATCTGCTGGTCAAGATGGTTTAAACCTAAACTTTGGTAAGAAGCTTTCAGCATTCAATTCTATACCATTCACATCCCATATGCTCATTCGGGGTCACAGTCATATGCTGTTTCGATGGCTGTTTAATTCTTGGGCTCTCCAATTAAAGAAGTCCTTCAAAAACAGGGACTAAGCCTTACTTTTATCTGTGCTCACCAGAGTGCCTAGCATAACCCTGAACACAGTGTAGGACCTAAAGTAAACATCTGTTAAATAAACACAGAGAATTCATAACGCAACCGTGATGACTTCAGCGTCTGTAATAGTGAACATTTCATTGGCTGTTTCATCTGAAACCAGCTAATGCAAGGGACTAAAAACGTGTTTCAAACAAAACAGCCAATTAACCTTTCCTGCCTATTATGCTTTCACTGCTTTCACTGAATGGACATCAGATGAATTCACTGTCATTGTGACCTGTTGACCCCCTAGAGAAGCAGGAGGAACAAATGGGCCACTGTTTGACTGCCTGTGCTCCAAGGACTGTGGGCCTCTTTGTAAGAATGATGGCTGACCCGGGGATACGATCCCCAAGGAGCCCATGTTTTCCCCACTCCCCTGAAGAGAGTTTTGAAGCCTCAGGTTATTGTTTATCTTGGCAAATGACCAGATGTCTGGACCACAGTAAGGTCCAGAAAGCCTGATGTTATCTCCTTCCACCCCCTTCTTTTTGCACTCCCAGGAAAGATAGTCCAGAAATGGAACTAGATTCCATAAAATAGGACATGTGGTCATCTGTGTGCATGACCTCCTTAGGCATACTTACGTCCACATTTATTGCCAAGGGTAAGGTTGGTCAAAGTTGCTATCGAGTTTTAATTATGCAATGCTCTTGGTTTTCTTTATGAATTGAGTTTTTCGTGTGTTGTTTGGTTAACCCTACAATGTGTAGCAAGACATCTTTGCATATTTCTGATTTATCCTTTCCAATAACTAGACTAGAAGACAAGTTGTACACATGGCTGCTTAAATAGGAATAATCCATGCCTCTGTTGTTAGAGAAGTATGTATCAATTTTTCAAATTGTGATAAGACAGAGACGCTTATGTGCTACTTATATGCTTGTGTTGTCGATTTTCAGCATGATATCAAGTGAGTGTAATAAAGTTATTTTTAAAGTTAAAACAAAATAAGCACACTGTACCAGAGGACACACTCACTCCCAGGGAAGAACTTAGCCACTGAGAATAGATCTCATTGTCCCTTTCAATTCAGTCACACCCTGGAGCTCACCAATTACATAACGGGGGGCCAGCAAAAGGAATCTCAATTTATCACTAGAGTTTAAAACTCAGAAATCAAATATGACATCCCCAAAACAGGCAGTCAACAGTATAATCCCATATCGCCTGCACAGAACAAGCAAATGCACTTTAACCTTTTAATGAAAGCAGCCTCCTACAATCTGTTCTTACGTAAAGCATGAAACAAGGCTCAATAAAGAACTGAGTAGAATATGAAAACCTTCTCCCACAGCATTACAGACTATTTATAATTCACGGGGAAGGGAATTCTCAAAATAGCCTATTCTTGAACTGACAGAAATATCTTTACTCTGAAAGTTTAAAAAAAAAGTCTGAACTGATAGTCTATGAAAAATGACCATTGCCCGTCTACAGGCTCTGATCAGGGGAGGTGCTCTCCTAGTCTCTTCTATCAGCACCAAATGTGGTCGTCTTGACCTTCAAGTCCATCACAAGGGCCCTGTCAGGGTAACAAAGGAGAAAGCTAGCACTCAACCTTATAAAATTTCACTGGGTTGGCACAGAATGTAAGCAGGGCAGTGCTGCTGTGGAATCAGATCACTATACACAAATGCTCCAATCATCCCTGGAAAAAAAAATGATATAGTATTGCATAATTTTCTTTCCTCCGGGTGTTTGACAGAAGGTATTTTGTAGATTATTTGAAGTTTCTTGAAAAGGGAGACTGAAGCCTTGTGTTTGCATATGAAATCTAACAGTACAGGAACTTGTGAAATGTACTCACCCCAGCGCTCATGTTACCACTATTAACACAGCCAGCCAGACAAGGGTTAAAGTATGTAATTCCATCCGATCCACAGACTGGCTCATACTCGTGTACTTTACAACCACAGTTCACATTGCAGCTTCCTGTCAGATTCCTATGAGGCACGGTCAGAGAAGGTCTAAGAGAAAAAAATAGATCGTGAGCAAAATTTGCTAAAATAAAACTCATAGGACAGTTCTTCATGTTCAGTCTTGTGTCCGCTTTAGAGAAGATATTCCCAGGAAATCAAAGCCATGGTACCTTGACGTAGCACCCTAGATAATTATTTTTATGACTTTAAAACAAAGTCATGAAGAAAACTGTTTCAATTTTCTGGTCCTGCAGATTCAGTACAACGTTCGTATCAAATTATTTATCACACCTCGATTCTAGCCTCCATCTTGGTGATACGGATCTGAGCTCAGAAGTTCTCACCTTCATATAACTAAACTACTCACTTACTATAGACACTTGGCTCTATGTCTTAACAAATTGGACCCTCGATTTCTTTAACTGTAAAATGGAAGAAATACTCTTCTGGGCCAAACTAATAATATCATGATGAGGACATTAACATGGAATCCATCAATCAGAGTTATCAACATAAGGTCCTTTGACCCAAACCTTTAATTATTCTGGAATAAATTATCAAAGAAAGACACGGGACTCTAGAAAATCAAAAGGAGGTGATTTTTCAAAGACCGTCAGGAATCACATCCCTGGTTTGATTCAGATGACCAGAGAAGAACCATTAAACTCTCCTTCCCTCAAGAATGCCCAGATGTGGGTTTACAGGCAAACGTGATGGGTTCCGTTTTTCCATGAGATCATGGTGTCTGATTCAAAGAAGTGATACAATATTTTAAACTCTAATAAAATCAGTTCAGGCAAGAAATATAAAAGGGGGAAAAGGGACTTCCCTGGCAGTCCAGTGGTTAGGACTCTGCACTTCTAATGCAGGGGGTGTGGGTTTGATCCCTGGTTGGGGAACTAAGATCCCACATGCCTCGTGGCCAAAAGACCAAAACGTAAAACAGAAGCAGTATTGTACCAAATTCAATAGAGACTTTAAAAATGGTCCACATCCAAAAAATCTAAAAAAGGCGGGGAGGGCAGGCAAGTAAGGATATAGGGCCTGAGAGAGAGATGTAAGGAAATGGCTATGGAAAGACAGAGGCAGGCAGGTACCTGGAGGGAATCATGGAAGGATGAAAGGGGCTCTGAATGCTCACATCCAATGACCTCCTTCCTTTGCTTTCATGACCATCATTGGTGTCACTGATGACATACCCTTCCTAAAGCCTCATGAACTGGCAATAGCAGATCCTTCATTCACCTGTCCAACTACCATCCTCCCTCCATTCAGCAGATATTTTGGAATGTCTGTTATGTTCCAGGACTTACCTTTAATGACTATGTTGAGTAACCACTCACCCAGTAGCCTAGTCCATCCCAACCATATGTATTAAATCCATAAACATAAAGTGTTGTTTGTTCAAAGGCTTTTCTCCTGTGTCCTCTGTCACACGTTGATAACTGAGTCATCGAATTTTAATGGAAGGAACAAGTTCACAGCAATATTTAAACCTTACCAAGAAAGACTTCCAAAGAGGCAAAAGGAAAATAAACTATTCTTCATTCATATCCCTCCACAGAAGAAATTGTCACAAGACTCTCATAATTATTATATTCATCAACTCTTAGAATCATACCATTTGATAGTTAGAGAAAGCCTGCGCACAGCAACGAAGACCCAATGCAGCCAAATAAATAAATAAATTGAATATACCTTTAAAACGTGATTCAGGACCAGTAGTTCTCACAGGGGCAGCAATTTCGGCAATGTCAGGAGACATTTTTGTTTGTCACAACTAAAGGGATGCTACTGGCATCTAGTGGGTAGAGGCCAGGGCTGCTTCTAAAAGTTCAACAATACACGGAACAGTCCCTCCCCAGGATAAGGAATTAACTGACCCAAATCTCGATATACTGAGTCTGAGAAACCCTGTTCTAGACCTATTTCCACATTCCAAGGATGATGAAATGGACGTCTAAGGAAGCCAAATGATTCATTATGAGGCTGACTGGTGCTATTTTTACAAAACATTTATTTATTAATTAATTTTTTTTTTTTTGGCTGCGTTGGGTCTTAGTTGCAGCCTGTGGGCTCTTTAGTTGTGGCGCGCGGGCTTAGTGGCCCCGCGGCAAGTGGGATCTTTGTTCCCCAACCAAGGATCGAACCCGCAAACCCTGCATTGGAAGGCAGATTCTCAACCACTGGACCACCAGGGAAGTCCCGATTAGTGCTATTTTAATTGATATCACATGAAGAGTATTCTGTGTGAATTACAATTATCTTCAATAGTTCTGCAAAAACCAAACTGCAAGCCACGACCAAATAAAAGGGACTTATATGCCTGTGTGCTTAGTCACTAAAACTGACACGCTTCAAATCCATACAATAGGGTTTTTACTATGCATATTTAAAAGTTACACGGAATTTCCTATTAACAGCATGCTTCATATTCATTTATGACGGCCACATACTTCAAATACCTCTCCTTTATGGGTATGTCCACTCAAGAGAAAGGAATCTAAAGAGAATGTCAACAGATGCTCAGAACACACATCAATGACAGAAAGGCAAAAGTTTTCCTGAGTTCTGGAAACAAAGGTACAGTCCCAGGTCACCCTTGGGTGTGCTCGCTTTTCTCATGAGATCATGGTGTCTGATACAAAGAAATGATACCATATGGAAAGCTCTAAGAAAATCAAAACAAGCAACAAATATAAATAGCAGTGAAAAGAAAGAGGCATTTATGGAAAATGTCATTCGGGAAAAAGGCCATAGCTGCACAAAAAAAGGAAAGATGCTGACACAGTTAATCCTTTACATTGCGCTGATTTAAAAAAAAAATTATTTTTAAGAATAATAACGTCTTGTTTGACTATCACTCACGCTCCAGAAGACAGACTGGATTAGAATAATAGTGCGAGTGTTTAAATCTGAGTCACTCCAAGCAACCTCTCATGAGCCTGAGCTAAGACCATCATGGGAGTACAAAATTTACAAGGACTGTAGTACACCACACTCATCCCTGTGCAAAGGGACAGTACATCACCTTTCTAATAAATGAAAACATTACTGACAAGTTAGCCTTGCAAACAAGAGGCTCACGTTAACTCAATGTCCATGTAGGTGTTCTTTCCATGACAGGAACAATGACTCACTAACAAATGCCTTGTAACTACATGGTCCAAGCTGTAAACCTAGGTCACACATGACATGTTACTATAAATACCATGGAATTATAGGATTAGAGAGACGGGAGGAGTCTCTGAGGTTAACTAGCACAGCTTACTGATTTTCAAGCCTAGGAAACTATGAAAGGTGTAATGACATGCCCCACAATCATTGAGGCTTTAAGGAAACCAGCCATGGGGAGACCAAAATGAACAGAAAAGGGAAGAAGAGCGAGCTTGCTGCCTAATCTTCATTAAATCAATTGCTTAAGGATCAATGTTTATTTAAAGTAACATACAACAATAAAACAGATTGAGGTTTAACATAAGGAAAAATCTCTACCATGGAGCTATTACAGCTGGGTATGTAAGGATACAGTTGCTCTCAAATCACACACATATTCTCGCACACACACACACACACACACACAATTGTGTCACATCACCCCACCCCAAAACCTAAAGAACGCTTGGACTTCCCCAACTGACACACTTCTACTGGTTTCCACAAATCAAAGAGGAGCCCCTTAACCTTCTTTCTGCCTTCTGTTAATTTTCTCCTTACTAAGAGATATGACAAATAGGGGTCCGTACGTCTTATATTCAAGCCACATGGATTAAAAGAATATGACCCACGCAACAAAAACCTTTCAGGCAAAATATACTAATCAACTAAAAAAAATGGTATCTTTCTCATAATTTCTTAAATTTTTATCAATCTATCTCAGTCTTTAAGGAGACTTCAATTAGAATGTTTCTTTTTAATTCCGCTTAAATCCTTGGCTTTATATTAAAGCCCTTCCTTGGCCAGATATAGCTGTGCAACTTCAGGTTTATAAATAATACTACTATCATCATCATCATCATCATCATCATTTAGGACTAACATTTACATAGTCCTGATTTTACTCCAGGACTTGTGCACTGAGATCTCTATAGAAGTTACCTCATGTATTCCTCATGAGAATTAAAATTATGATGACTGTGTCTCCAACTTTCAGATAATGAAACTGAATATCTGAGAGGTTAAGATAGGTACTGTTAAAGTTCACAGAACTAGTAAGAATCAGGGATTTAAACCCAGTTATCTCTGTCTCCATAGTGTGTCCCCTTAAACGCCTACGGCAGCGCACCCGCTTTGTGTAATTGGCCATAGTTTCCCTTGAGTCTTCTGTGTGCTCTCCCTCCTCCTTTTTCTTCCTCTAATGCAGCTTTCCTGGCACTCAGCTCTCACTGTGTTGAGCATTAGAGTCAGAGAGAGCAGGTTCAGGGAATTCCCTGGTGGTCCAGGGTTTAGGACTCTGTGCTTTCACGGCTGAGGGCCCAGGTTCAATCCCTGGTCGGGGAACTAAGATTCTGCAAGCCGCTCAGCGAGACCACAAATAAAAAAATAAATAAATAAATAAAAAGAGTGGGTTCAATTCCATGTCTACAATTCACCAGTGCCATGAACAAATCTAGAGGGACTTCACTTGGGTTGTAAAACAGAGACCAGAATATCTATATCGCAGTGTTGATGGGAGGATTAGATAAGTAAATGGATACCCAGCGCCCAGCGAGTTCCTAGCACATAAAAGGCACGAAGATAACTGATGTGTTTTCTTTATCTACACAGGGCAGAAGCAGGAAGGAATAAAAGTAACACAGTTACAATCACAAAGAGCACAAAAGGCCTTCATGATGATTTTCTTTTCAAAAAGGAAGATGTCATTTTCTTATTTACTCATATAGAGAACAGTCAGAAAACTAGATGAGGGTCCAGTTGCAGGCCTACCATTTAGAAGCTGTATGACCTTAACAACCTAATAGTTAATGGCTGTCAACGCCCCTCCTGCCTACATGAGCGGAGATAAGCATGATCAACACAGGGGAGTATGTAATAACTCATGGGATAGC